TCCTCGCTAAATACTGTTCAGTTTTTCCCCCTCTCAAAACAGTTTGAAGTTAAACAGGTCTGCTGCAGTACCCACAGGAAAGGACTCAGGCAGGAGTGTATTGTTCTAGGACATTAACTACACCTCCACACTTGCAGAGAACAGTATTTAGGTTATTTTTTACATTTTTCACGGAAAGTCCAGCAAGCCTATTCCAATCTCATGTTTTCTGGGATTCTAGCCCTCTGCACTGCTGAAAAGTGTGTTTTTATGGTTTGAAGCCCCTAGTTTTGGGGGAACATTTAATGCACCCCAGAACAGATGACCTTGTTTGACCACTGTCGATTTGCAGCTGATTCTAGTGTGGAGTTACATAGATATAAAAATTGTAAGCACACTTTTATTATTTTTTAATAAGGAATTTGTTTTGTTTTTTTTGCATTTCTTTTATCCCAACAGTGGCAGCGCTGTCCTGTCATGTAAGAAAAGGACTCTGAGTTAATAAATGCCTCGTGATAATTAGTCACTCACTGAATGCACTCAGCACAGACCTGCTTATTCAGAATTTCTGATTTTACACGCCGATTCTTCATCTGCACTACCTCACAAAAATAACTTTGCTCAAAGTATCGAACAAACAAAAAGATGTTTATTTTAGGACGTTGATTGCTTGTGACAGCTTGCTTGAGCGCTGGTCTGCAGTGCCGATAAATCGATGGGCATTTGATCTTTTCTCAGATTAGCTTTCCTTCACATTGCAGAGATCTCAAACAAGCGCATCGCCGAGCTGTTTCTTAGGCCGTTTTTAGGGTAGATTATGTGGCCGGCAGCTGAATTTTTATACTTCACTGCCTCGCAGGATTTAAAAAAAAAAAACCCACAGAGCCACAGAGTCGTTATAATAATCTGAAAATAGCAGCTCATGATCATCTGTTCTCATAGCATGGGTCACGAGTTCCAACACCTCCAAAATTTCTCCTGTCAGGGTAGGGGGCGATTTTTATTCTCTCTCATTAGGCAATTTGACTAATGACTCGCTGTGGCTGCACAGCTACTCGGGGACCTGCCGCCTTCCTCTGCAGCCTGCGAAGACAGCCTCCGCTGCAGTGGCACAGATGGCGGTGCCCGGACGACAGAACCAGCTCCAATATGTCTTAGAGAGGCTGTCAGGCCCGGGCGCCATCCCTCCCGTCCCCGCGGTCGAGCGCGGCTGGAACAGGGAAGAAGCCGGCCTCGCCCCAGATCTTGTTTTTTTTTTTTTTTTCCCTGTTTAAACCTTCCCCCCCTTCCTTTCCAACCCCCCCCCCCCCCCCAAACCGTTTTTTTTTGGCTCCGCGAAGTCCCTGATCCGACCCGCACTGCCTGTCCCCGCAGTCGGCTGTGTGCTTTTGCTTAGGGAGAAGGAAATCCGTGCTCCTGGATGTAAGGAGTCTAGCGGTCAGCCCCTTGTCCCAGCAGGAGAGGAAGGTGCCTTCGCAGCAGGAGCACCTGCGTATCCTGGGAACATTCCAGCGATTACGCTTATTGCAGGTTTGAGGCACGTCATCTCCGTCCCACCTGGTCAGGACAGGTGCATAAGAAAGGGGCCGAGAGGAGGCTGGGGTGTGTGTGCGTGGGGGGGGGTGGAGAGAGCGCCCCCTGGTTTTTAAACATGCTGCCTTTCTATCAGCCAGAAGATCACAGCAGCCAGTCTAAAGACTGCTGCCCGTAAGCCGGGAAAAGTCTTGGTCTGTGGCGGAGCAATTGAGCTGTCCTCAGTTTAGATTCCATGGATCTAGTGTGGCGTGGTTCCCTGTCAAGCGCAGTGGTGCGTGGTGAGTGTAGGGTTCGTTGCCGAAGCCCTTTCGGCCAACACTGTGTGCATAAGCACCACTTTTCACGTGTCTGGAACCTGGGCTCCTTCTTGCTTTCTTCCTCCTCACTAGGCGAGCTGCTGTGCACCTGTTGGGCTTCAACGTGGAGATCGAACAGATCGCCTGTGGGGAGGAAAACTTTATTTTAGGCTAATTGGCTGCCGTAGTTCTTCCTTTTGCATCTTCGAGTCTTTTCCAGGCCGCTATCCCCGACGCGTGTGGAAGAGCGCTGAGCTGGCGTTGAGGATTGCCCGGCAGTGCTTTGGATCCTCAAAGCTAACGGAGTACAGCTCGTGCTCGAGGCTAGGGCCTCATCAGTCCAGACCCCAGCGGGGTGCTGGACCATCTTGGGGAACCTCTTGCAATACTGGAAGGCACAAGGCGACTGGCTCGTGTGAGCAACATGGGTGTTCTGAGCAGAGACCAGAACTGTCCCAGAGAGACAGCTGCGTCCTGCCTGAGGCTCGTGTCCTTCCTGTTCTGGCTTCTAGACAATCCATCCAGCAGTGCGCACATCTTTTTCTCCATAACAGTAAAGGAAATAAAAGTTAAGTGCCGTAGATAAGCAAGCCAGAAATACAGTTTAGTATCGAGACTTTTTTTCCCCCAGCTCGAAACTCTCATAGTAAATATTTCACAGAAGTGTGTGTGAAATCGTGAATGAATAAAAGGCTCTTGGTAGAGTAATGGGCAGTAAGCAGGCAGGGTCCTAATGAACAGGGGGCTGCTTCCTAGGTGTAGTTTAAAAAATGATATCGCAGCTCTGCGCTGGAAACTGGGATGTTTCCTTGGGGCCTGTAGGTGTGTAGAGTCCTAGATGACAGTGCGTTCCAACAATAGAGGTGTGAAGGATTAGCGCTCAGCGCAGCGTAGAAGTGGAGCCCTCTGAGTCCTGAAACAACCATTCGTCTATACCCAGGAGCTAAATATGACAATGTTAGCATTTTTCACTGCCCTGACATTACCATTAATAAGGCACTGATCCAGACGGGGCTTTGCTGACTCTGTTCTTTATGCTTTCATCGTTCACAGCGAGGTTCTTGCACATGGGATCGTTTTTTGGTATTAAATGACAGTAAAATCCTAAATAAAAATAAAACTTAGGGATATTGTTTTTGTTCCTGTAAGGGCTAGACGGACTTTAGCATGCTGGGATAAAAGGCTTGGGACCTGTCGATTTTTTTGGCACCTTGGAATTGTTCTGGTTTTCTCTGAAAAACGGAGCAGGGGGAAAGCTGTCTAGGCAGGCTGAAATGACCCCGGGGCTCCCTGGTCTCTACGACGGGCGCTGTGCCCCTTGCCGGGTGAGAGCACCACGTGTGGCGGTTTCAGATTTTAAAACCTAGCCTCGTTGTGCACCGAAGTGCAAAACTGCAGGTCGGCTTTCAGCTCTCCAGTTCATCCGCCAGTTAAAGACGGGTCAGGCGGCGTTCCCTTTCGTGCTGTTTCTCCCCCTCTCCTGGGTATCGATTCCGATGCGTTCTGCGGACTGTCATCGTCTTCCTGCTGCCCCTGACACTGCAACAGTGCTTTGCCACTCATTCGTATTGACTGCTGCCAGGAATCAAAACCAGGCGCTTGTGTCCTTCCAGTCTCGGGGGGCCTCCCACGGCCCTGTCGGCCTCGGGAGAGATTGAGAGCCGCTTTCTGTTTCCGTAAGAGGAGCAGTGTTCTCCTCTGTGTCCAAGCACTTCACTTCCAAGCGTGACTGCTCACCATTGAACGTGAATACCGCAGTCACAGCTTTTATGAGCATCTGCCGTATCTGCAGCCAAGCAGAGAAATGGGTCCCTACCCTGGGTTAGAAGTCCCCATCCTTTCCCCTTGCAAGGGAGGGACTATTGCCTGCAGGGCTCTATTCCTTCTGCAGCCTCAGGCCCGTGGCATTTCGCTGCCGAGTCACGGGGCTTAAACACATGCTCTAGCCCTGACAGGGCACTCTAGTAGTGGACGCTTGTGGAGGGAGGAAATCGAGGTTTCGAGTTTTGTTGCGTCTCGGACGGGCACACGAAGGCACACCTGCACCTGACTTCATGCCATCTCGGCTGGTAACCGAGCACGTGAAGCACAGCACAGAATCCTCACAGCAAGGGGGCAAAGGAACAGCTGAGCGAGACAAAACCCGAATGTTATTTTTAAACGAGGCCTCCGGTAGGAGATCCGCTGGGTCGGGCCGGTTTTTTTACCGGCGAGCTCAGGGTTAGTTCCGGTGGCCCCAGGGCAGCCCAGTGAGAGCTTGACCGTGACATCTGTGGTCCTGCTGAGCGAGGAGCACGTAGGAAGATTCCCAGCCATTTCAAGGCCTGTCAGTGTGTGCCACCCTTAAGAGCCCCATGTGATTAAAGCCCAGTGATAGGAGCCAGGCAGATGAATGGGCTCATTGTATTCCGATCAGCAATCGGTAATTTATTTTTTAATGTATTTTATAAACAAAGAGCAGTGCTCGAACTTGACAGTCTTGACACGTTGATTCCTATGTAGGCTCTGTTCAGTGTGAGGTTACAGCATTAATAGCCCACTTGCACACATCACACCATTTTTAACCATGATCATTATGATAAAGGGCATATACTTAATTACAGGCCTCCTTAATTATAGCTCTGTTGAAGCTCGTTTGTTTGGGAGAATGCTAATTATACCACGGAATTCCTGGCACCTCCTTGATCCTCTTCGCTCTTCACCACTGTGTGCGAGTGGCTTATTCTTATGCAAATGAGGATCCGGTGGTGGATGTTTCGCGTCTTCAGTTTTATTTCTTTTGTTTTGAGTCTTCTGTCTGGCTAACGAGGAGCGCCAGGAATAACCGGGGACAATGAAACTGAAAACGGGGCAGAAAAGTAGAAGTTGGACTTCCAACTTCAATAAAGCCCTCACTGTTCACACTGAGACTGCTTTTCAGACAGAGGTTTTAGAAATTCCTGCTTTTTTGTCAAAGGCGTTATTAATAAGTATAGGCGGTGTTTTTAATAGCGCTAGTAGCTTGTCTTCCAAGTGAAATGAAATGGCGGTACACTGATAATTTCACATGTGGGTGGGCTGGGGATTCCAGAGCTGTAGCAGATTGTTGTACAGTCGAATGAAATGACTGCTTACACCCCTCAAAGTGCTTCTTTAAAGTTATTCTCCGTGTTTTCAAGCCACTGTGATGTTTTCTGTCCTGTTTTTCAGCAATGGATGGCGTGCCTTTCATGATTTCCGAAAAATTTGCCTGTGCGTCCGACGACGTGAGTGTTTATTAATTTCTTTTTCTTTGACGTCCTGTTAGTCCGCTTCAGAAATGAATGTATTATCCCAGAATCCCTCTTTTTCCTCAGCGGGTGGGCTTTGCCGTCATTTAAAAATGAAACTTTTAATCTTAAAAAAGGATCTCCTGCCTGAAAAGACTGGGGGCTGCACGTTGATAGCAGGTGGCCCGTCCTGTGTTCCTCCCTGTTCACATCAGGGCATGACGAGAAGGTAGAGGAGGAGTAAAATCTCCAGGACTATAACAGCCTGACACCTCCGGCAGGATGCAGACACCAGAAGTCCGAGACGTCCCTTACAGCAGCACCCGTCAGCTGCTGAGACGCAGGAGCCAGCAGAGAAAGGACAGATTAGAAAAATGAGTGTTTACTTTGTTGATTGGTCTTTTAGACAAAGTGCTTCATTAACATGCATTTAAATCGCAGAAACGAGCACTAGTAATTCACAGCTTGCAAAGAACCAAAAAAAACTTCACTTGAGAAAAATTGCATTTGTGTAAACAACTATGAAGTCAATTATTTGCATTGTTATATGCAATCATATTGAATGATTTTTAGTAGCTGGCAATGGAAAAACCACGTTACCTTGTATGCACTTATTATCTGCTGTTGCATCATGGAAAAGGGTTTGCAAATCTTCGACAGGAGTAACGGCTCGTGTTCCATGTGGGTCACTGTGTGCTGCTCCGCCTGGGAAGGCTCTGCTCGGCGACTGCTCAGTTCTGTCCCGAGCGGAGCTGCGGATTGGGTGATAAACGCGGGTCTGTGAGTGTGTGGAGCCGGGCAGAACAGAGACTTGATGCAGTCCGTCTGCCTGGCTGCAGTGGGCACAGCAGCCCAGACGCACTGCCCCAGGAAGAGGAGTCACTGCTGTAAGCAGGCTGACTTAGCCACGCGTCTAACCCCCTGTTGTTTTTTTTTGGCCTTTTGATTTCAGATGCAGCAAGTTGATTTAATGGGCATTACGATCAAATCCCTGGCAGAAATAGAGAAAGAAGTGAGTACCGCTGGAACGCTGTGGCACTGATGCCATTGTGCTTGAATGCAAAGCAAAGATTTTTTGGAATTAAGTGTCTTAGACATGTTGAGCCATCTCTGCTTGACTGCGTCTCGATTGAATTAGATGAGGCTGGAGCTCGAAAGCACTTTTGAGAACTGTGTCACCGCCTGGTGCTCTGGACCTGTTCACATTCTAAGCGAGATGAGCTGGTCTTCTTTTATCTTTAGCAGTAAATTCCCTTAAATCTCTCCCCCGCTCGTCCTGTTAAGCAGTGATAGCGTTTTCTTCTGAGTCGAGATTTACATGCTTGTTCACAAATTTAACCCTTTTTCTACCTCCAGGGTTTATGTGAGTGTGGAAAGAAATGTACACGTTAAATATCCCATCCAAAAACTTCAGTTCCAGTCGCACTAAATTTTTTTAATATATTTTAGGCTTTAAACAAAAAATAAATGGGGTTAAGTGGAAATGTGGCATAAATAATACTGAGGTTTTGTTGTCTGTTTTGTGTCTTTTGTGTCTGGTATTGCTGGGACGTCTTGGGTTGCGGTACTGCCCGTGTAACAGAAATGAACTTGTCAGCTGTGTTTGCAGGGAAAGCTTTCCTGCAGCACCGCCTCACAGCTCCCAGTCTGCAGTGATGAATGTTATTTCAGTAAATGTAATCTTTATTTTATATAACGCCTTTCAGGACACATCAGCTCCAGCTGCTTTGCAATTAAACAAAGCAGAAGTACCAACATCAGAAACCTGTTCATTCAGCTTTTAATAAATCAATTAAACACTTAAACAGTAGAGTGTGAAGGTGAGTTTTCAGACAGGATTTATGATTTTAATGAGTTCTGTGAAATCCACTTTCTTAACGAGATGCAGATCTCAGTTTTCTGTCTTCACGTCTCCAGCGTGCGTGTGCAGTGCCTGTGTCTTTGTGGAAACGCGTTCCGCCGGGTTTCCAGAACAAAGGCTGTAGTGCCGATGCCGGGATGTCCGGCTGTGCCTTGCAGGTGTCTTCCTGGTTCGGTGTCTGGGAGCGTTTTGCTCTCCCGGAGCGCGCAGGAGCCAGGCCCTGCGGTTCCTCTCGGATACGTGGGCTGACAGTGCCGCAGCCCAGCCTCGCTCTCTGAGCTCCGCTTCAGGATTTCATGGGGATCCCGTTGACTCACAGCCCGGAAGACGAGGGCAGTACTTACTTTGTAAACACTGATCACACAGCAGGCCGCGCAGGGCGGCATGCAGGATGGGGACCCCTAGCGAGGCTCCCACAGGCTCCGAGCTCACATGGGGGCATCACCCCAAATCGCAGGCCTGACACCCCAGAAGGCTGGAGTCGCCTGACAGGATTGGGCCACGTGTTCCCTGCGGCTCTCGGGCTAGCGCTGGTTTTCTGCCTAGAGCGCCTCGTGTTTTCAGAGGGAGTGAAGTTTTCTTGGTTGTGTCTTTCATAACACGTGATCCAGGTTTAGGGGAGAAATTCAGCCAATTCCACAAGTGTAATCGTGAGTGTTGGGGTCTCTGGGGACGTATTTAGGAGGTTGGGGCCTCAGGGGGTGGGCCATGAGGGGGCTGGGCCTCAGTGGGCAGGTACTCGGCTGGCTGGATCTCGGGGCGGGTGCAGGAATTTGGGGCGGGCTGGGCCTCAAGGGTGGGGATGTCTCTCAGGGGGTGGGGCTTCAGGGTGGAGGCGGGCCATAATGGGGTGGGGCTTGGCCTCCAGGGGCGGGGCCTCCGGGCAGTGGCTGTGACCCAAGACGCCAAACACGTTAGTGCGTTTTTGTCAGAAAGCCCACCCACCAGCCCCCGGGCTGACCTGGACAAACAGCTTTTTCTCGGGGTCCAAGCCATGCGAGGCTCTGTGGGAACGTATTCATCTGTTTTAAAGTCTCGTTTATTTTTCTCCAAGAAGCTGAGTCCTTGAACATTTTGAGGACCTGGTTCCAGCCAGCTCTGCATCTTCCTGCCCCTCGTTTTTGCTCTTTTGCTTCAGAGTGTTACTGTTCTTCCTAACAAACGCTACTCTTAAAAAGCTATTTATATTCTTGAATTATGTCACGTGTTTGGAGATAGCACTCCAATGAGAGGGACATTTGTCTCAAACCCTAAATTGGAAGAATCGTTCTTTTCTCAGTCCCCTGTGGGTTCAGGCACCGCATTTTAAGAAAGCATGCTACTTTGCTGAAAGATTGCAATGGTCAGGATAGAGAACAATACAAATAGATCCTCTGTCCCGCCTAATGCAGTGTGAATGGATTATGAAGAAAAAAATGGAACAGGATGGAAGGAAATAGAGGTATTCTGCATGTAGGAAAAGAGTAGTTTTCTAGGGCCTGCCTTTGCCCTTTACTAACAAAAAAAATCATTTTCAGAATTAAAACAAATGTAGATACGCTTTCCAAATCCCTTTCAGTAAATTGGTTATGTTAACTTTCTGAACTTCTCATGTCTCGGGATGCATCTAGACTTGAGTTGACAACGTAGAATCAAATTCTCCCCAAGAGTCTCCCCCCACCAGTCCACTGCTGGATTTCCAGTGTGGGAATAAAATTCGGTTTTGGGAAGAAGGAGGGAGCCGAGCCATCATCCTCCATGGCAACAGGCTCCAAATTCGGAATAGCTAGAGTAAACAGGTTATACACTAGATGTTCATGAGTCCATCATGCAGAAATACCATGTACAGTATATAGACACACAGCAGCTCTGAATCAGTCTGAAGCAGGCACAGCAGTGTTCCTACAATCCTTCTATGTATAAAGTAGCATTTATTTACCGGTGTCCTCATCATGGTTTGAGACAATTCTTATTAATGATTACCTAAGAACTAGATGGCTGCTGCAATGATATAATCCTGCTCAGGTCTGTTCATGGGAAGACCTGCACTAGCGGTGTGGCTCGTGCCAGGGTGTTCTTCTCTGCTGCAGCATGACCTGAGGCCCGTGAAGGAGACAGTCAGTTTAAACGGGAGCAGGAATGCTGTGGCTTAGGTCTGCTGCACCAGTGCTTGCCTCTCCATTTGTACTGCAAGCCCACACTTAGAATGTACAGAGTAGCACTAGAGGTTGCAGATGTGGGGTTTGCATGCTGCCAAGTCCACCTTTGTACAGATCACAGGCTGTGAGCGTGTGTTATTATTGATGATTACTTGAAACAATATATACAGTATGTTGTAATTTTCTTTACAATGAGCTATAGTCAGATTTTTGAATGAAGATCTGCAACACCTAAATGCAAGTGCAGTGCAGTAAAAAAAAGCGTTTGCTGTGTTGTTGGACGTTTTGCTGAAATTCATGGCAAAACAATACCAGTGGTGAGATCTGTGCAAGCCACATTATTTCTGCAAACGCCAGCGAACAAAATCTTAAAAACTATGCTTAGAATCTTAGGAGTTCATAATACCCTCAAAATAAGTCACGTGACAGGAATGAAAATATGGAAGTAATTTGCAGTGGCCGATCAAAGCAATCCGGCTGTGAAACGAGCTTTACTCCAGTGGTTTAAACTCCTCTCGTGAAATTCAGGATTAATGGGAACTTTTTATTTATTAACTTTTCATCCAAAGTCCTGTAAGTGTGAGATTTCTGTGGGTGTGGGTATGATTCGGGGCACGCAGGGTTAACTGGTAGTGCAGGCAGGTCCTGTTCAGATAGAAGAGCTTTTGTGAAGATACCAAGATATTACATCTTTCTAGAAGGCTCTGATTAGCAGCAGGACATAACAAGGGCTAGGGAAGTGCCCAGAGTATCATTAATTATAGCTATGCTGCAAATGATTAAGTAAATGTGAGGTACAGTAATGTGCTGGATTTAGTGAACTGGAGGACAGAGAAGATTAATGAATTCAGAATGCAGATTGGGCTGAAGTCACAGCTTCATTTGATAATTACTTTTGTGCTTCAGACTCGGCATGAAAACAAACCTGCCGTTAACCTTTAACAATTGATTTGCTCACACGTTTCCACTAATTTTGCAGTGCAACACAGATGTATTTTTTTCTCTAGGATTTGATATTGACACTTCTAATCCATGAGTTTAGGAAACGCTGCTAAGCAGCGTTTTAGTGTCTTACATTTTTCTGATTGCAGAGTTCTGCTTGGCTGCCCTGGGCGTGGTTGAAGACGGTTTCATGCCATCTCCTTATTTCAGTGCTCAGTTGTGTAAATATCCAACCGAGCCATGAAGCTCTCACTGTCCAAGCAGCTCAGGACGTTGGGAACCTGGCGTTTCATGACTGTTTTTGGCACCGTACCCTGTGTCATCCGTTTCCTCTAGGAACAAAGTGAAATCAGGGGTGTGACAATGTGCAACATGTCCAGTAGGGGTCACCGTTCAACGGTCTCATTTTTTTCTCTCCATCTCAGTTTTTTTTGCCTATTTTTTTCTTGTCATTGAAGGTTGTTGAATTGACAGGGTTCAAAAAGGAACACGTCATGCAGAATTGATGTGCACGTGTGTGCAGCTGTATATGTGCATGTTGGTGTATGTAGATATGTGTGTAAGGACTGTGTGTTGGAGGAGATAACCCTTCAGTATAATTATGCAATTTTTTATAAAAGAACATTTACGAACTGACATAATTTTAGCTTTTTTTAGTTGCTGGTTCCAGCAATTAGGCATTTTTTTCATTTCCCAAATGACTTGAGGAACTCGTCTAGATTATAATTGCTCTTAGCCACGCATATCTAATTTGTGTCTTTTTAAGTGTTAATTAGTAAACGATTTGAACTGACATCTTTATGTATTTGTGTTTTGAGAAATGAGGCTTGTTGCTGGCTGGCTCGGCTGTGACATCACGACGTCGCAGGTGGAATGAATGAAGACGCACGTGTCACGTTTCCAGCGAGTGAGAGACAGGAAATGAAGTCCTGATCATCTCAGCGCGGCTGCCGCCAGAGTTTTAGATTTCACTGTCCTGTCACAGCCTTGTAAACGGGCAGACAGTGATGCATGGCCTGCGTGATAACAGCCCATTGCTCTCCCATCGATCACTTCTGATTTTTTTTTATTTAATAATTTATTTTTTCAAGGTAATTTCTGTTCTGTTTTTAGAGGGAAAAAAAAGTGCCGGTTGTGACATGTTTGCACAAGCGCTGGTGCCCCCGGAGGCTGGAGGTGGCTGGGCAGGGCGTGTGAGTGTGAGTGATCCGCATGGTGCCTGCGATTCCCTTGTGTGGTCCTGCAGCCCCACCTAGTGGTGTAGATGATGTGTACATCAGGAGATGCACTAGAGGTGGAGAGAGACAGGAGTTTTCTGCCATGTGTACACATGTACGTTGGAGTTCTTATTCGCACTGGTCTCTCGGGACATACACAGTACAGCAGGCGACACCACACAGCGTACTTTATAAGCATGATGAATAATAACAGAACAATAAAGATGTCATAGTGAGAGGGGAAAAAAACGTGCATAGGCCTGATGTGTATCGAGTCTGAGGCATTGCGGTTAGCTGTTGAGAATGAGTACTGCAGTGGGGCACAAATAATGGTTAAATTATAGAGAGGACAGCAGGGTAGATAATGGTTAAAAAGTGAGGCTGTATCGATACTGTAAGTATGTCTGCCCTGTGCTGCCAGTACTACAAAAGAAAAGCAACCACTGGCTCTAGCAAGCCCAGAGGAATCACCCTGAGCGTGAGCCGCATCGTCTTGGTGTTATAAGTTACTCCTGAGTTTCTTACCTCAAGAGTGACTGTTAATTAGTACTGTAAAGTTGATTGGTTTCTTGTTCGTTATGCTGCTGGACCCTCTTGTTTATCATTTTGTTTATCAGGTTTCGACTTGTTGAAGTCTTCGTAGGTCTTCTGGATCGGTACCTGCGTGCGCAGTAGTCTTGGGAATCGGCGTGCGTGTGTGTGTGTGGATTCCGAGGGGGCTGTGACCTTTGTTGTGTGTGTTTGTGTGTGTGTGTGTCCGCTTGGTTTGAATCGCTTATTTTTCCCATCGTTTTCCATCACTCTTGGCGAATCCCCTCCCATTCCACAAACCTGCTTTTCTGTCCTAATATCCTTCTTCGGTCATTTTGGGTTTGCTTCATTCCGAAGAACGGATCAAGAAAAACCGAAGATACAGCAGTGATTTTCATATTGGTAGTAGTGTTTGTAAAATCAGTGAAGTTGAAAAGTTTCAAAATCAAGGCAAATCTACTGCAAACCTGCTACGTTTTTTTTTTAAATAGGACAGAATTACCCAGAAATATAACAGCTGAATGTGCTGCTGCAGAAATGTGCATTTTTTTTTAATTCGCCCAGGACCTCATCCAAGTTCTGTTTCTGTTTTAATGAGAACTTTTAGTTCTTTAGATGGGATGTTGGGTAGTTTTCAGACTTGGCATTCTGTTGTTTAAAGCCCCAGTGCACCACTAGGGGAGAGCATTCAACTCGGGAATGCCATACCGCAGTGCACCACTAGGGTGCAGTGTTTACCCAGAAATGTCTCATACCGCAAAGCACCACGAGGGGTCACTGTTTACTCTGGAATGTGTTATCACAGTGTCTGTCAGATGTGTATTTGTGAATTGAAGTAACATTTAATAGGTTTTGTGTTTGGGAAAACCTGTACTCATTGAATCTTCATTTTTCTGTTGTTTTTTTTGTTTCCAAAATGTTTAATCACACAGCACTGGTTTCCAGGTTTTAAGTTTTTTTGTGTGCAAACTTTGTGTTCAGAAAGCTGATGGAATGTGATGCTTTCTGAGGTATACTTTGTGCTGAGTGGCTCTGAAAAACAAAATTCCCTGCTAACACGAGTAGTACTTTTTTTTGGCACAGCATTAAAACTAAGGTAGAAGTAATTAAACGGTCCCCATAATGACCAGATGAAGAGACATACTTGCTGCTGCTGACGTGTTGTTGAATGATCTTGACTGTTTGGTCCGGGGGCAGGGGGGCACGTTCCTGCTGTCTAGCTGGCCTTGTCTGTGCAGAGCTGAGCTCGCAGTCTAACCCTCTCCCCCTCTCCCCCTCTCCCCGCCCTCGCTCTCTTCCAGTACGAGTACAGCTTCCGCACGGAGC